TCCCTCAGGGGAGCGGCGAGAGAGAGAGACAGAGAGAGAGTGTGTCTTGTAACCAAGAAGGGCCAGCTACCACGTCCCGAGTCCCGCTCGTAGCCCTCCCTAAGGGGAGCGGCGAGAGGGAGTCAGACAGAGAGACACACAGGGATCGGAGGAGGAGGTCCACCACAGCCGAGTCCCGCTCATGGGAGGAGAGTCATGCAAGACTTCCCTCCCTGACTTCCCTCCGGTGTCCTAGCTAAGCAGTCGCCCTCCCGACACCAGTGTTCCAGCTAAGCAGTCTCCCTGCTAGGCCTTCCCCAGGTCACGTGAGTTTTTGTCAGAGCTTTCCATGGGATGAGTTACTTACGTGGGAAGTGTATTCATTTCATGTTCGTGTCCGAGAATCAGAGTGTCTAGTAACGTAATATGATGTCCTAGTAATGTAAATATAATGTCTTAGTAACTTCAATAGAAGGTGTTATTAATGTGTCCATGTCATGTTCGTAATTAATAAAGAGTTGTAACGAAGCGGTGTTTGAGAAGTCGCCCTTAAGACTTAATAGATGTGTATTGACGTATAAGATACGATAAGTGTAAATCCATCATCAAATATCTATCACGGCCACGCTACCAAAATCTTCCTCTCTTTATACTCTTATACTATCAATATTCTACCTATATGTAATCTTCTTCTTGTGAGATTTGTCTCATTACAATGGTGGCAGCGCACTTAACGTAAAACTCACGCCTCTTCCCTTTAGTGTTCAGTACAGTGATAGTTAGAATCTTTTGAAGTAATCTCGTAACTATCTTGACGAAGCAGGCAGTACAAGGGTGGTTGCATTCGTAACATTATATTGGTGGCAGCGTACTATAACGTTAACTCACGCCCTCCTCGTCCCTTGTTATTGGTAACAGTGTAAATAACGTAAACCCATGCCCTCCCTCATTTTAGCCATAACACCTAACTCGTTGTTTGAGTATTGTTCGAAAGTGCGGGATAAGGAGTTCCTGCATAGTAGCGTGAAAAGTGTCCTAGTGTGTCACCGTTACAGCTCAAGTAAATGTCTCTCGTCATGGTATGCGCGAATTTTTTCTAGAAATATGTTCAGTGCTTAACGTGAGTTCTCAGTGTCCCCCACGATCTGTGACATTCTCAGTAGCCCAAGTGCAGTTTGATTGTTGGTCAGTGTTGAACGTAGAAATTGTTTCAGTTATGAAAGCGGTGTCTGTACTAACTGTTATAACTTAACATGTCTTTTAACCTACATCCTCCTCCCTGTCCTAATCCTCACCTCACCCTCCTTACCCTTCCTCCCATCCCTGCCCCGCCCCGCCCCGCAAAGCCCCGGCCTGGCCCGATCAACCACGCCTCGGCTCCTCCCCACCTCACCCGCCACGCCTCGCCCCACCCCGCCCCGCGCCGGCCTGGCCAGCCGCGTCCTGCCTTGCCTCCGTCCTTACCTCACCCGCCTCGCCGCGTAAGACCTCACTAATCCCCCGTCTTTTGTCCCGTAAGCTATATGTTGATGATGGTTAATATAAAGTAATATTGCGATGAATGCAGAGCTTCACTCAGTGGATTTTTATGCTGTTATGATTTGTGATGTACTCTTTGACGCGTAGTGATAAATGATATTAAGTGTAGTGCACAGAGCTTAACTCCCCGACCCAGCCTGATGAGAAAATTGTCGTGACGGAAATAATAGTTACCAAACAGTGACGTAATGTATAAAGTAAATTTTTTTTTTGCGAATGCACTTCCAACTAATCCATCATCCCTTTAGGATTGTTTCTCTGGCAAATATCACACACAGTACCGCCCCATGGCTAGCCGGAATCCAACCACAGCACATATAAGCAGAGAAGGAGAAGCGTGATGAGTGCAGCACCACACCCGCCACACACCACCCCACTTCTTTCAAGTCCTCCCTGGTCTAGGATTAAGAAGATTTTATATTTTTCTACTTTAGGAAGTTAAGGAGTGTGGAATGCAGCGCCACACAATGAACCCTGGTGAGCCCAGCCAGGGAGGGATTCACCACTGTGGAAGGTGTAAGACAGGACGGTCTTTGGTCTCGCCGACACTCACGTACGGAGGGCGAGCCCTGGTCCGCGGAACCTGCCTTACAGTCATCTGAGGAGATGGCAGCCCAAGCAGTGGACCGGCTTTCATCCCGGCCGGAGGGGGCCGACGGCAGATGAACAGAAAATCGTCTGGAATATGTTGAAAATGATGATGTTGCAGAGAAGAAATACAGATGGAGCAGAAAAATTCATCTGGAATATGACGGAAAACGAAGATGTATAAAGAAACGCAGATGAACAGAAAAATCGTCTGGAATATGAAAATGAAGATGTATAAAGAAACGCAGATGAGCAGAAAAATTCATCTGGAATATGAAAATGCTCTAAACGTAGAGGAAGAGCAGATGAACAGAAAAATCATCTGGAATATTATAGAAACCAGGAGGAAGTGTGAAGAAGTCAGAAGATGTGGTGACACGACCTACAAGGTGCGGTATTGAAGAAAGAAAGACGTGCTATGTGATGAATGAAGGCAGGAGACGTCCTGTGCTGACATCAGAAGAAAGTCGACGATGAAAAGGTGGATCATCAGAAGGACCAATCGACTACCGCTGTTGTGCTGCCGGCATTCCCTATTTTCAGATACCAGCTGGATGGAGGACTTGAGCCATGCTGGACCCAACAAATGTACTGATGTTGTTGATGTACATTAAAAAGATATAACACCCTAACATGTGAAGTAGGAGCATTTTTTTGTGTATTTTGAAGTATTTCATTCTCTGATTTTTGTAACAGGTACTACATAGAATGTTTTTTTAAAGTTTAGTCACTTTTTTCTATGAGTTCATTTGATCAATGTTTTGCACTACGAAACACAATGTTGTAGCCATTTACTGACTGAGATGAATTATTATTTTGACACGGCCTGGTTAGGCAATGTAACACCTGTTTTTGTTTGTAGAATGTGATTTGCAAGTTTGCCTCGGACACTATGCTAGATATGAAGGATCTTTAGATCACTCTATGTTCACTTACTGTGTATGTATTTTATTTTTTTCTCCTGTCATAGAAGCTTTAATCTTGGCGGGAGGTATAGTAAGCTTTGTCAGATCAAACTATGCCAGTAGAAAAACATACATCTCTAGTGTTATAATTTGTAAAATGTAAGGATGCATTATCGCCTCAGGGACTATATTAGATACTGCACATGATGTTACTGTCTACTTAAAATGTGTCATCAGTGCTCTGAGCATGAAAGCTTTGGTCTTGGCGGGAGGTGTAGTGATGGGTTGTCAGACCACAGCTTACATCTCAGAAACAGTCCAGACTTGACCCGACATTAGGGAGGTCAAGTGTAGGGTAACTCTAGCGGCTGACCAAGGGTTATAAATCAGCCAGGCTCCCCTCTCATGTCACACGGCCCCATCTGAAGATTTCTCCAGAATATACAACTTATAGTCTCTGAAAAAGTCCAGACCTGACCCTACATTAGCGAGGGCAAATGTAAGGAGACCCTTCGCCGCCCCCCCGATCAGCTCAACCTGACGGCTGGTCTCCCAATATATAGGACGTCCTAGTCCTCCCTCTGCCCAGAGAGAGACAGAGAGAGAGTGTGTCTTGTAACCAAGAAGGGCCAGCTACCACGTCCCCAGTCCCGCTCGAGAGAAGCCCGCCACTAAGTGTAACGAAGTCTCAGCCGGGTCCATCGACAGAGTGCTGTCAACTCAACGTGTAACAGTAAGTGCTGGCTGTGTAGACGGTAGAAGTGCGGTGATCCCGAACCTCCCCAACGATCTACTTAGTGAAGTGCCCATTCTAATTGTGAGGTTAGGTTATACGAGAATACCATAGTCTATCAAAAATTGTATACGAACCCCCCCATTAATCCCCCCCTATTGAACTAGTAAAATAAAGCTGTAACACGCATTGGTGTTTTATATACTACACTTGTACTGTCCCTGTGTTAATATACAGTGTTGACATCACACCCTCGAGACCCGCTACCATTTCCTCTCGCTATTATATTCTACTACTATAACCTCCTAACTTACCTCTTCATGTGAGATTTTGTCTCATGACACTAACCTCAGCGAATTTTAAGGGCATGCTGTACTGTACTGTATATTTAGGTATGATAACGTTACTACGTATCTTGTTGCTACGTTGGTTGCATCTTGCAAAAGTACTTTTTTTTTTTTTTTACGGGATTAGCCCACCCGGGCACAGGTCATTGTCCCACATCGGGGCCTGGGGGGCAAAAATGTAACAATAATAATAATAATAATAATAATACATTGCAAGCTTTACTAAAAAAATTGGTAGATATTGGCTACACTGTAATGAAATATCACCAGAAATGCAGTGGAGTTAACATTAACAAAAAGAGAAGACAAATATATGTACAATATTTGTTGTAGGTACTGTAGGTATAATTGAAATATACAAATAGGTACCCAAGTAGGACGATGTGGATAGATGCCTTACAAACTGAGTAATTTGTAAAGTTGGCCGAAACATGGACTTTTGTTTTCATATTTTGCCCTTATAAAAAAATACACAAATTAGCCAGTACTTTGAATTGGTGGACACCAAATTAGTGAGGTTCAAGCGTAATAATTAATAAACAAATAAATAAATAAATAAAAAATTACTAAAAAAAAATGTATATACCTATCTGTATATATAATATAATAAATAAATAAATTATTGTGCAAACATGAAGAGGGTAATGGGAGTCCCTTTCAGTGGAGCTTCATTCTTGGAGGAGTTGCTGTGTACAGTATTGGAAAGTATTAGATGCAAGATTTTTTTACTTTTTAAACCTAGTGATTAAGAAATGTTGAGATTCGTTGTTAATGACTGTCTCCAAGGGTAGAGACAACAGTCTACTCCACACCATATATTGTGTATGTCAGTACATGATAATAATATGTGATTAATTACTTTCATTTAAGACTACTTTGACTTTATTTTTATGACATTGTGATTTTCAGAGTATATGACTGACGTTGGAAGTGAAGAAGATTCACCAAAGGTCAATAATGGGGGAAATTTCTCCGATGATAAGGACTCGCACTTCTTCGCTTATTTCCTCACCATAATGGTTACTGCCATTATATTCTACCTTGTGTTTCACAATAAACAGAGAGTAAGTCACCAAGTATCTACTGTTATAATAGAAGATAAGTTCTTTCATGTATTGTATAGTATACCCTAGTACAGTGGTCCCTTGGTTAACGAACTCAATTCGTTCCAGAGGGTTGTTCGTTAACCGAAACCATTGTTTCAATGGGATATTCGGAAATTGGTTCCAGCTCACAGAAAAGTATATGCAAAGTAAAGCCCAAAATGCATAAAGTCAGAAACACTCCTAAATCGCCCTTAAATCACTACAGTATTACCCCGCCTAACGCGGTTTCACTTAACGCGTTTTTTCATATACGCGGTGCCTCGCCAGAGCTGAACTTTCACTTAACACGGATTTTTTCCACATATACGCGGTGAGTGTCCAGCTCGAGACGCTATTTTTAGATTTGCCCCACCCGCCACCCTGCCTGACTGCCTGTTTTAGCTCATAAAATTCATACAAATTACCCAGCCAGAATATAATTTACATTGCTGGAATTCTTATAATTTGGTGATCATTTTGAATATAAACATCATATATTTTGCATTAGACATACAAATTTTAGATAAAATGTTTAATCTGAGTAAATATGTTATCTTTTGTGCAAAATATATGACTTTTATATTAAAAATATTCCTGGTCTTACAAGGAATCCAGCAATGTCAATTATATTATCCTAACTTTAGTTTGAGGTATTATTTATTACTAAAAAGTTAAATATTCTGGTTTCCCCACACATCTCCTTGGGACGGTTGGTGGGGGGGAGGGAGGGACCGACTGACCATCTGTTACCCCGTGAAGAATATTTTTTTTTTTTATTAACTGAAGATATTTGTTTTAGCTTATAAAATTCATACAAATTACCCGGTCAGAATATAATTTACATTGCTGGAATTCTTATAATTTGGTGATCATTTTGAATATAAACATCATATATTTTGCATTAGACATACAAATTTTAGATAAAATGTTTTCTCTAGTAAATATGTTATCTTTTGTGCAAAATATATGACATTTATATTCAAAATATTCCTGGTCTTACAAGGAATCCAGCAATGTCAATTATATTATCCTAACTTTAATCTGAGGTATTATTTAATACAAAATGTTAAAATTTATTTTTTTCACCCACTCTTTCTCTTGAAGGGAGGAGTGGTGGGGGGTGGGGGGAGGGTTGGGACTGACCGCGCTGTTGGAAGAGGGGGTAGGCAAGGTGGGGTACTTTGATTGACAGATAGTGTCGTGAAGAATATTTTTTTTTTATTCACTGAAGATATTTGTTTTAGCTCATAAAATTCATACAAATTACCTGGCCAGAATATAATTTACATTGCTGGATTTCTTATAATTTGGTGATCATTTTGAATATAAACATCATATATTTTGCATTAGACATACAAATTTTAGATAAAATGTTTAATATGAGTAAATATGTTATCTTTTGTGAAAAATATATGACATTTATATTCAAAATATTCCTGGTCTTACAAGGAATCCAGCAATGTCAATTGTATTTTCCTAACTTTAGTTTGAGGTATTATTTATTAAAATTTAGTGGTTTTCCCCCAAAAATTTCTCAAAGAGGGAAGAGCCAGCAGTGTAGTGTGAGAAGAGGGGGAGGGAGTTGAGTCCATTATTTGAATGGACATTAACTTGGCGACTGTATTTCTCTATTTCTCTTAAGTATTAATTGTGTGCATGTATCATCATAAAATTAAGATGTTATTTTTACTACAACATAGTTATGTGTTTTCAAAAAGTGGAGTTTGGGGGTCGGGCTGGTTTCTATTGGAATTAATCCCATATGTTCTGTTGTTCACTTAACGCGGATTTCACTTAACGCGGGACCCTCTGGGTTCTATTGACCGCGTTAAGTGGGGTACAACTGTATATATATATACGTACATATACACTCTTACTCTTAAATCAATACTGTAATGTGATGCAGGTGATTAATTTTTATCTCTTGTGCAAAATATATGACCTTTATATTCAAATTATTTGCTGTCTTGTAAGGATTCCAGCAATGCAAATTATATTCTCCTAACTTTAGTCTGAGATATTATATAAGATAAAAACTGTAAGCCTAAAACCCTGGTTGGGAGGTAGGGAACAAGCCAGCCAGCCAGCCAGAGAGGGAGGGAGGGAGTGAGTGAGCGGGGGGAGGGGGGGGTTGATATGTTTGACAGTTTGAGCCGAAGGTCTCCTGTGTGTTTATTTAACCGTCCTACTAAGCTTCTCTCATTTTAAATTGCCATATGAAATGACCTGGGAGAATATAATTAACATTGCTGGAATTCTTATAAGATAGTGATTAATTTGAATATAAACAAGCTATAATTTGCATTAGATATAAAAATTTTAGATCTAATTTAAGAATTTTATTACAGAGAGCAAAAAATTTTTCCTCTTGTGCAAATATATGACGTTTATATTCAAATTATTCACTGTCTTGCAAGGATTCCAGCAATGCAAATTATATTCTCCCAACTGTAGTCTGAGATATTATATAAGATAGAAACTGTAAGCCTAAAACCCTTCCTGGGCAGATGTGGGAGAGGAAGGGAGGGAGCGAGCATGGGAGGGAGGGGGGAGCAGGATGTGAGGTGCACTTTGACAGTTCGCGCCGAAGGTCTGGTGAAGTATTTATTTGTTTATTTATGTCGTTTAGTTGAGTTTTTGTTTTTTGCTCATAAAATTGCATAGAAGTGACCGGGGAGAATATAATTTACATTGCTGGAATTCTTATACAGTAGAAGTCCAAAAATCCGGACTGCTTGGGGATTGGGTCGGTCCGGATTTTCGGATTTTCCGGATTCTCAGGCAGTACTTTTAAAATTAAAATTTAAGGAGGAATAAAGAAGAGATGAACAGGTACATTTTGATAGTTTATTCATTAGCAAATAAAGCATGCTTCATTTATCAAAACGAGCAGTTTTAAAGAAATATTAAGTCAACACTAGACAAAAATGTAAACAAACTGTCTAATACCATGACGAGTCTTGAAATTCCTAAGCCATCCATCACTAAATGCGCACTCTGATTCAATGTTCATTTGCTCCTTAAAAGACTTTGCTTTGGCAATAAGTATCGGCCCAGAAATTGCCATACCTTCTGATCGTTTTAACAAAAACCATTCATGCAACACTTTATCAAGATTTTCTAATTTGGGCCAATGTAAACTTTTTCTTTCAGCAATTTTAATGTAAGGCTCAGAAGAAGCTGTGAATTCTAGAATTTTATTCTTTGCCGTTTTTATATCATAAATTGTAGACTTTCCAATGTTGTATGTTTCCATTAGAACAGCATTGCTCACATTACATTCTAGTTTCTTAATTATTTCAAGTTTGTCACTCAATTTCAATGTGTTCTTCTTTCTCTTCACACAACGAAGTTTATCTACTTTAGGGGCCATTATTATGGGCTTGTACTCTGTACATGGAAAGAGTAGGACTCAAAATTACATACGTTGTCACAGTTTGATGGCTTGTTTTAAAGTGGCGATTGTGTGGTCGTTTGTTGTCACTGTGCAGCTGTGGCATTCACGCATGCACACATACACACAAAAGATTTATAGTGCCTCAAATTTTACATTTCAGTTCAAGCTACCGTATATCTCGGCTTATAAGACGGAATTTGAACATTAAAAAAATCTGCCCAAAGTTAGGGGGTCGTCTTAATCACCAAGTATAAAATTCTTACCTCTTAAATATTGCGTGTCAAGAGTGGTGATGGAAACATGGTAAACCACTCACAAAGTCCTACCAGGGAAAGTGACCTTGACTGTGACCGCCTGTGGCTATTTTTAGCCGTCCTTGTGTTCGGAGGTGGTCAGTAATGCATATCTGTATATTTACTGATCATAATACTTATCTCCTATAAATAATTAATTTAAAATTAATTTTTTTACAAAGAATATTCAGTAAATGACTGCGTTAATTCTTGAAACTACCGACAGTGGTAAATTTAGGATATAAATGATGAACAGAAGTCACTTCATGGAGTCATGGATTCGGAGTTTGGTCCTTAATGATCACCTACCAGTTATAATGCTAGCCTCCCTTTTTCGCGAAACAAGTATATAAATTAAAGAAAATACTTGCAGTGTGTTTAATGTATTACAGTATATTATAAATAAATAAATAAACAAATAAATCGGCAAATCTATTTTAAGTAAATGGAAATATTTTACTCACACCAACATTAGTTCCAATTAAATAACTGCCGCTTAAGTGAGTCACTAGTGTACACCAGCCGGTATAATTTGATGCCAATACTTGAAGTGAATTGGCATTATTTTAAATAACCAACAATAAATAAATGGAAAAAAGATCAAAGGTGAGAAACATTATATTGTATGTATGTTGTGTTGTCAAAGGAAGAGAAACAATTGAAACTCTGCAATTGTGTGTAAATGAGACAGAAAGATAAATCAGCAACCTAAGACTTGGTCACAATGTTCGTGATGCCATATGGAAGTAGGGTCTACCATTAGACAATACTGTACATTGTGCTTCCAATATCTTCCCAGGCAGTAGAATCTCCCCATTTGGTAGCTGCCTAAAACTTTTAGTAATATTACTTTGATACAACATGATAAATTAGACAAACAATGAAAATAAACAAACAAAAGTTATTTACCAAGACCTCTCTGAGAACAGAGGGATGTAGGGGGAAGGAAGGAGGTTGAGATAAGACGGCTATTTATAGCCTGTCTGTGTGTAGGAAGTCGACCACACTAGAAATAATTAATTTTATTATGGTAGTGTTGTGAGGATGTGTGAGTGGTGTGGGGGGTTGTGGTAGTGTTGTGAGGATGTGTATGTGGTGTGGGGGGTTGTGGTAGTGTTGTGAGGATGCTGTAAGAGTAGTGTGGGGGCTTTGTGGTACAGTTGTGAGGATGTGTAAGTGGTGTGGGAGGTTGTGGTAGTGTGAGGATGTGTGAGTGGTGTAGGGGGGGTTGTGGTAGTGTTATGAGGATGCTGTATGAGTAGTATTGGGGGCACAATGGTTCGGTTGTGAGGGATGTGTGAGTGGTGTGGGGGGGGTTGTGCGTGGTAGTGTTAGGAGGGATGGTATGAGTAGTCAGG